GCCAGGTAAGGCTGAAGTGCACGGCGCCCTTCCCCACACGGCCGCCGCTCCTGCGCCGCGGCGCCGGCTCATCGGCACCGCGCGGGAAACAGGTAACCACTTGGCTGCGCTCCCAGGTGCAGCTTCCCAAGGGCTTCCTGAAAAGGCCTGGTTTTCAGGATGGGATCTTTATGCATCTGGGAGGATTTAGAGAGGACCATAAGTGTTTCTGTTTCTTCAAATTGGACTTTTTTCAGGTTATTTTCAAAAGTGCCGAATCTTGTAGGTTGAATTTTTAGTAAAAGGTCAGATTTGCTCTGGCCTTGATCACAATACATCTACTGAGGAAAAATAAATAAATAAAGATAATTTTATATGAATTCTATACTTTGTTTTTACATTTTCACTTTTATTTTTGCCCGAGTTTATTAAATGAAAGCTATAAAAATAGCTTACAAGATTGTGAATCCTTCTTTTGCAGTTAAGGTTCCCAGTGTAGGCCAGTGTATACAAAGGAAAAGCCTGTGTATACTGTAAGTCTGCCCAAAGCAATGATAATCTTCATTCACCATAAAGGAGCTAATATCAACATACCCTTGTTTTAAATTACTAGAGGACACTTTCAGCTCAGTTTTTTATAGAAATTGAGTTTGTGCCATGCAGTACTTCTGGATGTAGACCTTAATTCAGTGAAGTGTTGGTGTGCTGATCACTCAGGGTATCAAGGTTTGAATAGACCTAAATATCTGGCAGAATCTGGGTCCTGTGCAGCTCATGTCAGCATCATCTTTGACAATGCTGTTCCACCTAAAAATGGGCAGATTTCAGGCAGCTGTAGGCTCTGCTGAATTTCTGTTAGGTTTTAAAAATTTGGCTCAATGGGAAGCAAGCTAGAGGGGAAAAAGAAAAAAATTTTTCTAACCCATCTGAGATCTACATGGAAAAGTACCCTTAGCACAAAGCAAGAGGAGTGCGTGGCTATGGGCATAATAATGTAAAACAGATAGTTTACAGCTAGGCCGTGGTACCTGTGTTTGTGTTTACCTTAAAAGTTGGTTTAGATGCGTTTGCATGAGGTGAGAGGAGATGGCCCTCATCTCCTGTGTCCTGGTAGGTCCCACTGTCCAAAGTCTGTGGGACATCAGATCCGAAACATGTGGTGATAACCAGGCAGTAAAGGGTGGCTCTCTTGGCGTGTAAGCACCTTTGTTTGAAGCACCTTTGTCTTTAAGAGTAACCCTACATACAATTTATTTAATTGCTTGTAATAAAAAAAAGAATAAATGGGATAATAACCTGTGGTGGCTGCAGCTACTTCTATTTTACCGGCGCAGTTTTCTATTCCTTTCAGACAGGAAAAGTGTGAGCACAGACTGCAGGCAGTTATGGGGAAAGATTGTTGTACTTCTAAGGGTGGATAATTGGCTTCTGTCCTTCCTAGGTGATGTTATCAGAAATTGAACAAAAGGTCCTTTCTCTCCTGGAAGATTGCGGGGATAGCGCAGGCCACCAGCAAGAGACAGAGGCTCTTTCCTTGAAGCTGAAGGAAGTGAAGTGCAATTTGGAAAAAGTCCAGACGATGCTTCAGGACAAGTACAATGAGGAGCAGGTAAAGCACATGAATGCTGTGCAGAGCAAGAGCCTCGCAGTGCTTCAGTGTGTTCTGGGTGCAGAAAAACAGTTAGAGATTCTCCACATGAAGCAGGTAAGGGAGGACAGTCGGCGGGAAATGTCAGACATGCTGTTGTTACAGTTTACAGAGCCATGTGATTATTTGTCATGTGCAACAAGAAATGGGATTTTTAATGAGTCTGAGAGATGCCTTTTCTGCTTTAAGTGCTCAGTGACAGAGGTCAAGGTTTGGCGAGAAGTACAGGAGAATAAAAAGTGTGTGTTTATTTTAAAGGCTCTAAAGTGCCACAGTGTTTGTCTGTGAGCATATGGTAGCAGACAGGCCTTTACATAGTAACTCTCTCTCAGAAGAATGTGTGTGAGAAGGGCAGTGACACTGCCAGCTTTTCCGTGCCACATCCCCCCCACCATCTGGCTCTGGGAAGGTTTCCTGCAGCAAGGAAAAAATTAAGTTTTTCTCTTGGCCCTTTCTGGCCTTAGTGCTTTGCTGAGTTTCCCACTAAGTGAGATGCTATCTCCCTGCTTCTTCCTTGTGCAAAGGCCCAGAGAAGCCCGTCTAGGATATTCGTGTCCGTGTGGTCAGCCACAGTCTCCTAGCACCAGAGCAGCACAGTCTCCTAGGGAGCTGACATTGCCCTGGAGGAGCTCTGCTCCTTTTGTACCCTGGGGGCCATCCCACGATGGGGTCTCACTTTGCAGGGTCACAGCAAGGAGCAGGTCGACTTGGAGCCCCTCACGCTCCTGCAGCCCAGCGGTGCCAGTGTCGCTCCTGGCGAAGAGCCGCCCGTGCAGCACAACAGTGTCCACGAGCACCCACAGGTAATTCTGCTGCTCCTCACAAAGCGGGCTGCTCTACATCCCCTGGGGCGAGGGGCAACTGCACTTGTTCCCTGCTACATTTTTTACTGCAGGAGAGTGAGGATGAAGATGACGCTGACCATTAAAGTCATGGCTTTTGGGGTCCTAAAATATTTGTTAATTTTATGGAGCTGGATGGTACTCTAACACTTGCCTTATGTTGCATTGGTGCAGATGGCATCGCCCATCACTCCTATCTCCTGTCTTTGGAGCCCTGATGTGTTTTGGGCTCTGAATCTGTACGCTGATGCTGCTTTGGTAGATGTGGCTTAGAGACGAAGCTTTGTGAATGTTTTCCCATGGGCTTAACTCCTAATGCCTTTAATGTTAACGCAGAAATATTCCAAGACGTGTTCCGTGCCCTGTGATCTATCTTCTGTTTCGCTAACTGGAATTGAGCTTTTGCCATCCTCATGCTCTTGGAAGACTTCTGGAATAAATGATCCAGCCTGAGCTGCTGAAAACTGTTCTGTTTTCACTGAACACTCTCTTATTTCTTATTCAAGCCTTGTATTTGAGCAAATGCCCTATTGTTCCTTGCCACCTTCTTTGCATAAGAATGGCGGTCTGTGGCCCTTAAATTTCTATATGTGCTGGATTTGACTGTGAGTGAGGGTTTCTGCTTTTAAAACTCTAGCTCAAGCTGAAGTATATTCCATAAAACTATATTCTTTCAGGAAATCTCTTAGTTTTGTAAACTCATGTTTACCCATAATTGGCTTGTTATACTGATAGATGTATCTTCATTTTCTTTACTCAATTAATATGAAATATGACTGGAAAAGCAAGATCATCATCTTAAGAGGAGTACAATAAAGAACTGCCTTTACCTTTCATGCTGTTCTCTGTTTGCAGGATTTGAAAGTAAAGCCAACTGAGCAGAAAAGCCTCATAGATTTCATTGAGTCCTGTGTGGAAAAAATGCAGCTACAGTTTGATGAGAGTGTGCCTAAGAAATTAAAACCAAGGTATGAAATAAGCTCATTAAGTACTGGTGTTCACTAGCATAAACCTGCCCAAGTCCACTGCGACTTTCCAGTGGCACCACAGGTTCTGTGTAGGGATATGTGCCTTTAGAAGAAGAAACTGCAGAAACTGGGAGATTTCTGCCATCACCAGTCTAGAGAAGTGAAGTCTCATTTTGCTAACACTTCCTTGGTAATTGGGGCTGATTCCAGTGTTCAAAATCTCGAATCCCCTGAGCTGTTGTCCTTGCTGTACGAGCAAGTCCCCAGCCAGGTTCCACTCAGGAGCTAATGGAAAGCTTCATGTAGTGCCGCTGGGCTATGAACTGTGGTGCCTGAGGGGAATTACCCTCAGAATGGTTATTTCAAGGTTCTTTTGTAAGATATGTCCTTAACTTGAGAGGCAAACAGCAACCTTGGGGGAGGTGCTAGATTGCCCATGTGTGGGAGACCAGCAGGCCCTTAGGGTGCGTCAAGGAAAGGGAAATGCCCCCAAAAATGTAACAAAGCTTTGAAATCAAAGGCCACCCATGCACTTGCTTTCACTCTTCTTTGGGGGACAGAAGAAACAGAAACCAGTCATATTCAAGGAGTCTTACAAATCCAGGTATGCTTATTTTGCTTCAGTATTTGCTGTTCTAACATTTTCTACATACAGCAATGAAGAATCTGATCCAAGGACAGAGCCGGCTGATCCTGCTTCAGCTCCAAAGGGTAATAAATGGCAATATTTACAACAAGAGCTGTCATCAAAGATGAAGTCTCCTCTCTGCCAGCTTGTGGAACCTCAGGTCTGTTTAAATTCGGTAAAATACTCCTCCTGCAAGCTCTTGTGCATTGGTGCATCATCCTCCATCATTACATTGTCTCTTCTTCAGAAAACTGAAAGTTGTGCAAGAGCCCTCCAGATGAAATATTATTGCATACCATTTTCATGATTGTCTCTTAACTTTACCTTGAGATAGATAATGACTCTGGAGTAGTGACTATTAGGTATAGCATGGGAGAGCATAAGTGAATTCTTGCAGTTAGTGTTCAGACTACATGTTACCTATTTTTTTTCAAGAGTCCTTAAGAGAAAGGCGGCTAAACCCTAGCTGAATTGTGTGGATGTAGATTAAAACCCAGTTCCTGCAAGTAAGAGCACTTTGGTCAGTATGAATCTCTGGCTTAAATCTTATTCTGCCATTTACTGCAGTGTTCTCTCTTCCTTTGTGACAGATCAAAATCAGAGTTTGTGCTGCAGCCAGCAAGAGAGCAGTGCGTGTTTAATCAGATCTGACTGTGGGGTTTTACAGCTTGGACAAGAGGATAACTTGTTATTGACAGTTTTGTTCATCCATCTTCATTGGGAATGACTGGATTCCCTGTTCTCTGAAATTATTGTGTTACCTGAGAAAGTATCAGTCATGTAAAAGGATAAATATCCTTTTATAATAAAATAACTTTTATTCAGGCAAGATCTACAGTGGGCAGCAGGTTTGCCTTATTGAAAACTGCAACCTGTAGCCCTTAAAGTTTGGAATCAGAGGCTCCTTGTTCAGCCAGACTCCCAGCGGGATATAGTCTGCCCAAATAGTAGAAGGGCAACTTTTCACAGGAGAGAAAATAAGGATCCATACTATCCAGGGATAGTAGGGTTTCAGTACCTTGAAACCATTATATTAATGCCTTTTGAGAGGAGTGTTATGCAGTTGAATGGCCGAGTTTTCTTCTGAGCTTTTAAGCTAACTGCACTGTTCTTTTTCCAAATCCTAGATTACAGCAAAGATGAACATGCTGCCCCGGGGCATGTTCACTAGCGCAGGGACTCCAACAGTGGAAGAACTGAAAACTTATACTGTCCAGCTGGGAGACATAAGCCAAGAAGCAAATGTGGTACATGCACAGGTACAGGTGACATGTTCTAGCATTGCAAGTACTAGGGATTGCAGAGACAAGAGATCAACTGAGCACTGAGAAACATAGCCAATAATCATCTACTGCAAATGGGGTCTATTGTAACTTAACTTTCACATCAGGTATGATGTATGCTGAAGAATCAGGTCTGGATTTTGAGCAGAGCTTCAGCTGTGATATTTCTGTTACTGAATATGCAGACATGCTAGTGTGGGTAATGATGACTACTCCTCAAAATATATTAAGTGAGGAGCCTGCGTGTGATTCTTCAGTATTGGAGCTGACAAGGCAAATCGTGCAGGGCAGACTCTTGAGAGAAGAGAGATCTCAAATACCACAACCCTCTTTGTACACACGGGGTCACAGTCCCAGCTTTGGCCTGGGGAGCCCTGAGTATTGCATGCATATTACTGTCTCGTTCAGATTCAGTTATTCCCTTTTATTATGGGTGGCTGAAACTCCCATCCTGTGCAAGTGAACATGTTCTAGCTATGTCTTGGCAGACAGTACTAAAAATTTCTAACTTGCTTTTACCCAGGAAAATGTGGCAGGGGAAGTCTCGTCCAATTTGGACAGAAAACTGTTTGAGCTGCTTCTGGCAATCAGCCGGTGTTTGAATAACATGGAGGAGATGCTGAACACCTCAGTCCTCTCCACCGAAGAGGCCGCCGTGCAGCAGGCTCTGTACGAGGTAACGGTCCTAAAGCACCCAGGGAAGAAGCCCCAGCAGATGGTTGCTATGACAGGACCTGGCATCTCTCTTGCTTCTCTGGTGTAACTTGGGAGCCATTTGGTGGGGCACAGGATTGGGCCACTGAGTAACATTTAGCAACTCGATTTCTGCCATCTTTTAATGGCAAGCGTCCTTGGACAGAAACCATTTTCACTCACGTTATCTTTCTCTCAACCCTTTAGACTCTTTCTGTGGAGCTGCAAAAACTTCATGCTGATCTGAGTGATAAAAAGGATGATCTCTTAAAGTCTATTACCTGCGCTGGTGGGAGTATAGATGTGTTCTGTGAATGCTTTAACAACTTGCAGGCACGACTGGAACAAACTCAAGCTGCCACTGCTTCAAGGAGCAATTCAATGAAAGCTGGGCTGGATCATAATAGCAATTACCAGGTACTCCACTGCCAAATGCACATCTTGTTTCACAGCATCTTTTAGACTTGTCACTGCTAATGCATTTGGGTTACAAATGAGCAATCTATAATGTGCTTTTTTCCCCCCTCCTAAACAAACTTGTCTTAGCCTCTCAAAAAATAAATTAATTTTGCTTTTTACAGCAGTATTTGCAGTGCTGACCACCTTGGAGATCTTGATCCCAATAGCAAACTTGCATGCAGAAAGGATGGAAGTAATCAGGGATCCCTTCATGCTTATCTACAGGGCAAAGCACTTGCCCTCTATGTGGAAGGATTTGACCAGTGGATGGTTCAGTATTCTTCCTGCATAGTATTTGTTGTGAGGGGCAGGCTTTTTCCTTCTCAGTGCCCCATCTGGCACTGGGCTACTCTTAACTATGCTTTGGAGATTGATTTGGCCCTTGATATTTTCTTTTACTGTTTACTGAGATTTTGTGCCATAGTATTGGAAGCCACTGCAAATTGCATTTTTTTGTTGTTGTTCTTTGGAAAAGCAGATGAAATAATGAAAGTCCTCTGTGCGTTCTTGTGAGAGACTAAATCTCCTGGCTAGTGTTGAAAAATACTCAGATCAGGTATTTGGACGGAAGCAAGGGAATAAAAGCCTGGTCCTTAAAATAGTTTCTTATGTCCAGCCAAACTCTTCAGCATCAGGATGTAGTCAGTGATGTCAGTGTGGTTCTTTGCAGAATGCTGTTTCTGAGGCGTTGGGGTGTTGTTTCCCGTGAGTGACAGGCCTGGCCTTGCAGTGTTTGCTTGTGCAGACTCCACTGAGCTCCAGTCATTTCCATTAATGGGCTCATTTTCTCATTTCAGAAGAGAAAAATTTGTATCTTGGTGTTTCACAGATTTTTATGGAGAGGATCATTGTGGCAAAGTAGTCTGCTTTCTTACACTGCACAGTCCAGTGAATTTCCCTTTCTGAATTACTGCTTAGAGCCCATAATATGTAGCCTTTGTTTTGTTTTTAAAAGGAAAAAAAGGGGGTTTTGCTGTGAGAACTCAGCATTTTATTTAGTATGTAATTTTGTCTGATTATTCCTATATTCCTGAAATGCGATATAGTTCTGATATTTCTTTTCTTTTCTAGAATGAAACCAGGCTTCTGTATGATCAATTAACTGAGAAAAAAGCTACTCTGCAACAATGCTTGAATGTAATACATGGACATAATGTTTCTGAGCAGCTCCAGGTAATTTGATTCAAAGTAAAAAAAAAAAAAAAAAAAAAAAAAAAATCTCTTCATGCTAGCTGGTATTTCCTGTTTTTTAATTTATTGAAATTTTCTATATTTTAAAGCTTAAAGCTCATTTGGATTTTTAAATATTAGGAGTCCAATATACTTCCCAGTTTGCTTTCTTTCTTATTTCTACTATAACCCAAATCTATGGGTGAGCCTAATTCCAGTCCTTAGAGTGGCTGGGGTGGAGAAACCAGTCCCTCTACTACCTCTCAAACTGAAGACTCCCCACATCATGGCAGGGAAGGAAAAAGACTCTGTAAAATACAGTAGAGTAAAAATTATGTTATGCTTTTCTGGATGGAAAACTTTAACTTTTCCCTGTGGGAACAGGAATGCAATATTTGTATCTCCTCGTTCAGCAATCATGAGCACTTTGTCATAATATGAAACTCACCCCAATTAAACTTCCACCTTCTTAGGGGCTAGCAGAGTTAAGAGCAAATCGTGCCTCTTCTCCAGAATAGATATCAACCAGCACTGTTTGTTTCTTCTTTGGGATAGATATCAGCCAGCACTGTCTGTTGGTAGAGCAAAGAGAGCTTCCCCCCACCCTCATTTTTTTTATTATTGTTATTATAGATCACAGTTTGTTAGACTTATTTCAACTGTAGGTATAACTTTCTGCAAGGCTGGAAGCTACGTCTGTAATTGCTGCATATTTCTTCTGTCAAGTAATATACTTGACATTTGGAGGAAAAAAAAAAAAGGTCAGAAGTCCCTAACTTCAGGGAGAATCTGTGTCAATCCAGCCGTGACTGACTCTTTCCACTATATGACAAAAATGGTATTTTATGAGGCTATGATTCTCTTTAATGACTGCTCTTGAGTTAGCAAACAAATACACATTGGACATTGGACTGAGATGCAAGATCTGAATTCACTTCCTGGCTGAGCCTGTGTGAGCCCAGTAAGCTGTGTCAGTCTTGTGTCTTTTTGCTTAGAAGTTCATGAGATCAGGAGTCTTACTGTGAATTTAAGAGTTAGTAGCACTGTGGAAACTAGGTCCCAGAGCTGCTGTGCTCCCAATGATAATATAAAGTCTGATGGAACAGATCTCCTGCTAATAGTTTCTTTTGTTTTTAATTCAGAAAATTGATGTCTGTGCTTTGGAGCTGCAAAACCTTGAAACCCAAGTAGCAAAACTGAGAGGTCACGGGGAAAGATTTCAGTTACCTGTAACATTAATCCAGGAAGCCTACAAGTTAGAGGTAAAAACACACTACCATTACCTTTATACAGCAAAGTTTTTCTTCTAAGCAAGATATATTTAACATCAAAATACTGATGGTTATTTTGCATTCTGGGCACATATGCTCAGGTCTGTAAGTTTTATTTCTAAATCACTAAACTGTGTTCTCATTCCAGGATGTTCTGGATGACATGTGGGGGATTCTGAGAGCAAAGTACATGGAGCTGAACTCTCCTTCCATCAGTGAGAACCAGTACGAGGACTTACTTCATGGGTTTGCAGAGCTGGTAGCTATTGGAAGAGAGAAGATTGCACAAGATCCAAAGCAGCTAACAAAAACCAGAGCAGCTTTACAGTCTCACCTGGAAAATCACAAGGTATAGCATGCTCATCACAGCATGGCTAAAATCAGCAAAGCCAAAGCATTATTTTGTCTGCTTTCTCTCTAGTGTCATGCATAAGAATAACTCTTTCTCATGGCATAGGGGAGAGGCTGCAGTACTGGTGGCCAGTTTTGCCAGTCTGTTTAGCACTACTTGGATTTACCTCAGAACATACCAAAGTGTTAGGAAAAAGCATTTCAGTGTTATTTTTGGTGATAAATCAGCAGTGAGGTTCCCAAAGATGCTGTCTAGCAGTTGGAAGTTGAGGCTTTTGGACCTGTGTGCCTGCATGATCTAATGGAGGGATCTTACCCATCGCAGCTCTTTGCTGAATGGAGGATGGTTTGGGGTCCTCTCCATGACAACTTTTTGCTCCCAATTTCTTCCTAGCTGTTATATAAGGGGTTATACCCTTAAAAGGGGAAAAATTCCTGTTCGGATTTGGCTTTTTCTGAACGGCTAAGCAGAGCTATAAATTAAATTAAATTATTATCCTATAGTTATCCAAAAGGCTTATTGTGTCCTACATCTTATCCCTTAGAACTGCCAGTACCCTTAGTGAAGGCTCAATTCTCTCATCCAGTGAAACAAACTGGATGATGGCTGTCTGGTGATAACTAGCTCACACTAAACTGCCTATTTATAGTTATACTCCTCCTTCCATCTGACCTTGCATTTCATATGAACTATAAATATACATAGTTTTCTTCATAAATATGTAAATGAAAGCAGCGCACCCAACTCACCACTTGTTCTTGATCAAAAGCAAAAGCATCAGCCCATTTCAGGGTCATGCAGAGTTTGAGGCAGGAGGCTCCCCAGCTTTGTGAGACTAAAACTGGCCACACTTCTGTCTTCTCCACACACTCATCCTGGGTGCATAGTCTTCCAAGATGGGTCTTCAAGTATGTTTTACTTGACTTGGATACTGCAGATGCAATAGAGTGACTGAGACTTACCAGCTCTGCCCTCATTGTAATCAGATCAGCTCTGCTATAATTTAGTTTGCCTTTACTTGGAGTATAGAATATGATATAAAAAAATCGAAGGATAATTCGTAGAATGCTTAAGGTTGGAAGGGACCTCTAGAGGTCATCTAGTCCAACCCCCTGCATACGCAGGGTCACCTAGAGCACGTGGCCCAGGACTGCATCCAAGCGGGTTTTGAAGATCTCCAGAGAAGGAGACTCCACAACCTCTCTGGGCAGCCTGTTCCAGCGCTCTGTCACCCTCACTGTTAAGAAATTTTTCCTTAAGTTCACGCGGAACTTTCGGTGCTTCAGTTTGTGGCCATTACCTCTAGTTCTGTCGGTGGCCACCACTGAAGACCAGCACCATCCTCCTCACTTCCTCTCTTGAGGTACTTCTAGACACTGCTCAGGTCCCCTCTCAGCCTTCTCTTCTCCAGGCTGAACAGGCCCAGCTCCCTCAGCCTCTCCTCATAGGGCAGATGTTCCAGGCCCCTGATCATCCTTGTAGCCCTGCGCTGGACTCTCTCCAGCAGCTCCACATCCCTCTTGTACTGATTTGTAATTGATTACATTTGATAAGCCTGAGGAAAACTATATGCAGTAAACACAAAATATTGTGATTCTTATTAAAATTGCAATCCAGGTTTTCAAGTTAGAAGGACTTGAATATAGTAAAGTGCATGGCAAAAACAAAAAGTAGGCTTTACTTTAGTACACTAAAGTTTAAAATTTTTATTTTTAGGGCTTTTTCCACAAGCTCATGACCCACCTGGCTTTTATGCAAATGTTTTCCAAGAAAGTGGCTCCCTCCATCCTACAGAAAAGAGAGAAATTCTGGAGAGACCTGGTGAATGAAGTCAGATTGCTGGAGCAGAAGGCCTGCCACTATGGTATACGCCTAGAGGGCTTGTTAGAGGTAATGAGTCAACAGAAACCCCCTGTAAAACTTTGAGGCAAGAAAGGAAGAGCTGCATATGAAAGATCCCTTTCTATGCTAGTGATTCTTTACTTAGTAGTTACCTCTCTCCTTTGGATGGCAACAGTCTATTACTTTGTCTGTGCATGTCAGTAAACTGGGTATTTTACCTGAAAACTTTAGAAAATGGCTGTTTCAGGCAATTTTTTCTGTTGTGAGTGGGACTTTATTTAATTTTCTTGCAGTGATTTTTGAGTGGCTGAAGTGACAGCAAAGCCATTTAGCGCACAAAACTACCAGTACCGCAATAAAATAAAATTTAAATATTGATCTTAAAACATCCAAGAGGAAAGGAAAAGACCACTTTAAAATAAGAAATCTTCAAGATGTTCACTGAATTATTTTTTGTGGTGAAATCACACCTTTAATATTTCTGTCATTCACCTGTTTTCATGTTCTGTTTTGTTAAAATGAGTTACTGTTGCTAGAATAAGCATTAAGGCTTCAGTCTCCCAAGATAGAGCAAAAATAGAGAGATGCATGAGAGTTATTTTATGTTAATAATGCAATGCCTTTTTCTAGGAATGGATAGGATTTGATCGTGAATGCCTAGCTTTCAATAAAGAGTTAGAGGCACTTGCCTCTACGTTGCCTTCTGTGAGTTTGGTCGAAGAAACAGAAGAAAGATTGATGGAAAGGATTGCAATTCTCCAGGTATTTTTGTGTTTGTTTCTCTTCTACTAGATCCATCAGAAACAAACCAGTAATGCTTTGGAAGAGGTTGAAATGAGGCCCAGTACTGGAGCTTCACAATTTCAAGGACAGAGTAGAATAAAATTATCTGAGGCTTGAGATATACAAGATTTGTTTCTGAAAAACAAATATCCCCCTTCATGATAAATACTGTACAAGCCCCTTCTGCCTGTAATGAAGTGAGATACTTGCATGTCACAGACGTGCTCCTTTCTACCTTGTCCACAGATCTAATTCCTGGAGGTTTTTCTTCTCTCCTTTTTCTCATTTTGACCTTTCTGATGAAGTGTGACGATAGTGAAATGTTGCTATGTTTGTTGCAGTGATTAAAATCTTTAAATAGGGTAGAGCCACAAGCCCTACTAAGAACAGAAGGGTGATAACTTTTGCCTGGGGACAGTCATACATCAACACAGTGCAGCTAGATCTGTTAGTGTCTGTCCACAACCTGAGGCTTACAAGCACTGAAAGAACCTGTCAAAAGACAACAGTCATTCTGACTAATGCATGAAAGTTTGTGCAGAAATGTCTTGGTCTATCTAGAGGAAATTGAGAAATATCATCCATGTTCCTTTCGCATGGAATGAAGTACCAGATCCGTTCAGTTTGGAAAATAAAATACCTGAGATAAGAGTTCTATGATTAAAATGTTAGAACAAATTATATGTGTTCAGATAGTTGTGGTTTTGATTTTTAAAATGTTACTGTTATGTAAACTTTCCACATTCTGATAGCAAATCAAAAGCAATGTGGATGAAAAGCATGCCAGGCTGTACCAGATGGTAAAAGAAGGGAAGAAATTGCTGACTGCTGTGAGCTGTCCAGAAATAACAAGCCAGATTGGGAAGCTGGAAGAGCAGTGGTTGTCCTTAACCAAAAAAGTTGGCCATGAACTACACAGACTTCAAACGTTACTCAAACTCTTGGTCAGGTGGGTTATAACTCAATAAGCAATTAGAGGTATTGGCTAGAAATAGATTTCTGACTTTCTATTTTGTGAACTATGATAGCAAAGTAATAAACTCAACTGCTCCTTTCACTTAAGAATGAAAAAGCAGTGGTGGGTAGAAAAGAGTCGCTTCATGACTCAGCTGATCTTCTCCCACTATGTAACAGGCATTTTTCCCACTTATTTTTAGTGGGAACAGTATTTCTGCAGTTCATAAACTGGAGCTGGTAAGGGACAGGCTGCTTATGCTGCCCTAAGCATAAGCATTTTGGCCTGCTATAAATGAGAGTTAGCTTTGGTTCACATGCAAAGCTGGAAGGTACATCTGTGCATGAACATGCTATCCACATTATAAACATTCAGGACATGGCTGAAATGCTGCCTCAAATGCCTGCTCTTTTCTGGAGGTCTGCAGAGGGGCAAGCCCCAAGCATTCTTGATGCCTCCCCCAGTCCAGCCATTAATGGACCAACTTGAGCTCTCCTAGCATCCGCTCTGGGCAGTCCGAGGCCAAACCTGATCAGACTATTGGTGTACACATAGCATGCCAGTCAGGCCATTTATCAATATTTATCCCTTCTCTGCACCTTATTCTCCTCATGCACTGTCTCCTCTGGTGGTTTTTGACCCCCAGCAAAGCTCCTTTCACTCATGTGGGCTCATGTGAGGAGCTGCTTGATGAAGATGGAAAGGATGTTTTTGGAGAGGGCAGACCAGCTCTAGAGCTGCTAGAACAGTCTTGTGTGAACCTCTGGCAAAACTGCTGTGTCGCCCATCAATTCATGTTGTGGCAGGGCTCCTGCAAGGGTTACGTAGGAGCGTAGGTGACAGGATAGCTCATGGTTCCTAAGAGAGGACAACTCAGAGGCTGAGAAATGCATCTTAGGCTGTTTGTGTGCTTGTTTGCTCTCTGCAGCTACAACAGAGACTCAGAGGAATTAATGAAGTGGCTGGATTCCGCTCAGCAGCGAATGAATTTTTGGAAAGAGCAGTCTCTCAATGTGTCACAAGATCTTCCCACCATCAGAGATCACATCAGCAACTTGTTTGTGAGTCAATTCTGCTGCCAGGTTTAGATGATGCATCACGACTTCCAATGAAAATGGGCCTTACAAGGGGTTCTTATGCTCACAGTGACCTGGAAACTGCCCACAAAACTTAGCACTGAGTGACAAAGCGCTGTATGCCCCAAAGCCACCCCATTATTTCTTTGGGGAATTGTGAAGATGGGAGGCCACTACAGATCCTTCCTTCAAATTGCTGGGCCAGTCAGGTTGCCTAAGTCAGGATGTGACTTTCTCATGGTGAGATTACATGATTGCTGCCCAGCCAGGATCTCTCAAGCATGTCCAGCATTTCTGAACTTTGCAAACCTGCTAAAATCAGTTTGCTGAGACCATTCATCCTGTGTTTGAAAACATAATTTGTGTTCTTTATTTAAAGAGATATATAAATATTATTAATCCTCAGTTAAATTTCTTCTGTGCGCCTTAGACATTCTCTAAGGAAGTTGATGAAAAGTCTTCCCTCAAGTCATCCGTGGTGAGCACTGCCAACCAGCTCTTTCATGTGAAGCAAGCTGATACTGCAGCACTTAGGTCATCGCTGGCAAAGTTTGAGCAAAAGTGGGGAGAACTGATTACCCAGCTCCCAGCCATCCAAGAAACGCTTCACCAGGTGAGGAACAATCCTGCTGCCATCTCTCAGTTCAAGCTAGTTACTTTTTAAAAAGTTGCTGCTGGCTTTCAGTTGACTGCTGTGTAGGGCCCACAAAGCAGCTCTTAATTGGCTATCTGTCTTTCAGAATATCTTCAATATTGTACTGTGGTTTAATTATTGCAGCGTTCTTCCTGTGCAATTTTGCACGTGTCTGTCATCTTTACAAGTTTATATGAAGGTTTGTTACAATTAGAAAAAAATTTATTTCAAACTTCAGAGTCCTCTAACTTTTTTTTAATTTAAGTCATATCCTACTCTGGAGCACAGGGTTAATTTTCAAGTTCATATCCAGATAATTGCAATTATAGTGTCTGAGACCTTCTAAAAATAAAGATGTCATCTTCCTTGATATTTCTAACAGGCAAAATTATAGAGGATTCATTATATGCTTTACCCCCAGCTTCAGATGGAAAAACTTTCATCACGGGAAGCCATTGGTGAGCTAATGACCTGGCTGGACCATGTGGAACGACAGCAGGGACACGAAGACCCTATAAATTCACAAAGTAGTGCTGCCCAGGTCAGAAGTCTCCTTCAGAAGTACAAGGTAAACAGGAAGTTATAAGCCCAGACCTTCTGCCAGGTGCTTAGTTGTCACAAAGATTGACATAACCTAACAGCGTGGTCATAATCCTTCCTTGACACTTGGGAGGGATTCCCAAAATAACCCCAAAGGTGTGTGAACATATTCCTTTATGAAAATCCATTTTACCTCCATGACATAAAACACTGCCTGCCCTGCAATATAAGCAACACTGTGCTCTGTGCTGTAATCTTTTTCCTCGTGCTCTATGCATTTAACTGTCTAACCTCTTTTTCTTAAGTTTAGATGATGTGTTGAGTGGCAAATGCAGTATTAGGCTGGGCTTCCGTAGGAAATCAGACTGTGCTGCACTTTGGCATGCCCTTTCAAGGAGGAATGCCTCATAATTTTGCAGCTCAATAGTCAGGATCCAATTACCTAGAAAACTGTGATTATGTTTTAGGAAGAGAGAGAATGTGCTAGAAAAGGGGCACCAGATTAATGTCCCTGCAGAGTGGGTGGCTGCAGCAGATTTTCTTCTCTGTTTAGACATGGAAACTCCAAGAATGGCGACTGATTGCCTCAGCTGCAGGAAGGATTCAGGCCACTCTTTGTACCTTCATAGATAGAGAGATTAAAATTGCCAAACTAATTGTTTTATGTTTTGTTTGTTTATGTTTTCCTCCAGGAATACATGATGGAAATGAACTTTAAACAGTGGATGGTGGATTTTGTTAACCAGTCACTGCTGCAGATGAGCACTTGTGATGTGGAAAGCAAGCGGTATGAAAGGACAGAATTTGCTGAGTGCCTTGGTGAGATGAACCTGCGGTGGCACAGGCTGCAGGCGTCTCTGAACAGACAGGTTTGATTGTGTTTCATTGCTTTCTCTCTCGCAGCTTTGATCTCACCTATGCTAGTGCTCCATATTTGCAAGCAGCATCCAAGTCCCAGCAAGGTTTCAGAGGGTAAACTCTCCTGTAGCTCTCAGAAGGAAAAACAGGCAATATCTGCTCTTCAGGAGAGCCTGAGAGTCATTTAATACAGTCAGTGAACTCTCTTAAATGGAAACAATAAAAGTCCTCACATGAAGAAAATAGGCAATGCAGTGTCAGCAAAGACGACCTGTATTGAGAAAATTATAAAAGCAGAAAAATTTGAGGTCATGCCTTCAGGGGAAGCTATTGGTGAAGTCTGTTGGAGGGTATGGAGGGTTACTGCAAAACTTGGTACATTTAAAACTTAATAGGTAAAAACAGTTGTGTTTATGGAAAAGATGAATGCTATGCTGGTTGGTTCAGCTAGACTCGAAGTTATTTTTTCCCTTCTTCTCTGATCTTTATCAAAAAACTGCTTTGTAATATTTAAGATATTCCCATGGCCAGACTTGAAGACAGCAGACTCAAGGTCCCTTGTTTCTTAGTTGAGGATGTTATCTTTGTTGATGGGGTCTGGGTAGAACAAAGTTTTGTGAATCCGTGTGAACTTACCTGGGTAGCCCGTGAAATCCCAGGCTGCAGGCTCCCACACTGCAGTGCCCAAGGAAGCAGTCAGGTACCAAAGAACCAGAAAAGCCTTTTTAGCTTTTCCTTTCAAAGTATTTGCATATGAGTTTATTCGTTTATTCTTGGTTAGAGAAAACTTTGTAATCTCAAAATGTGTGTTGAAATGGAAAACCATGCTTCTGCCCACCTCAAAGTTTAACTGAGCTAAAATAGTTCTGCAACTTTCAGATTCAAGATCTGGAACATGATTTGGAAGATATTACCGAAAATGAGAACAAAGGACAGACTCTAGGCAAGTGGCTGGAAGCGCAGAGTGATCGACTGAGGTCCTTACAAACCCCAGCAAGTCTGACCTCTGCACAGAACACGTTGGATGATTGCAAGGTAAAGCATTATATGTATGTGATATTACTGCCCAGAGTATGGTAAGTGGTTTGCTGAATCCACACTAACAAACTGCACCAATTTTTGGAGAAAAAAAAAAAAAGGAAAAGAAAAAGTAACGAAAAGTTGCCGTTTCCTGGGTAATATTACAATGTCATTTTAATTAAAGCATGGAAAGTTCAGGTCATAAAGAGGCAGATGCAAACTCTTATTTTATATTTTTTTTTTGCTCCAATTGAAGGTACATCTCCTGTTCTTTGAATTTTGGAGTGTTTTCCAGCAGTAATATTCTGAAATTTTTCCAACAGAAATAGTTCTCTCAGTTCTGCACAGCTGTGGCAAGAGCCATCGATTCCATTAGTGTGAAGAGCTCTTTGATGATAATGTCATGGAAACTACATAGGCCCATTTGGAAAAATAGTAACTCTCTGTAATTCTGCTCTAAAATGTGTTCCCTCCCCACTAGTCTCAAGAATCTGGGTATACTTTTGTTGTGTTTCTTAAGGCACCAACTCCGTTGAAGTTAGGACAGGTGCAGTCAGCCAATAACTGGTGCCCGTTCCTCTGACAACCTGCTGCTTTCATTGAGTACAGCAATTCCTCTTTTTTTATTATTATGATTTTTTAGCATGGAATATTTGTTCCTTTATTATGGTGGTTATGTGCCTTTCTCCCATCATAGGCTGCTTTTTTCCCTAGAATGCTCTGTTATACACTAAGTAACTTGTCTGTCTGAAACCATGAAACTTATCAAGGGGCCTGGGTGGAAGAAAGACAGTCAATGTCTTTGCCTAAAGTAATAATCTGATTACAGCGAGGCCCAGTTCTAAGAATCTGGTGGCTAAATGCTTCATAAAAATTCACTTTGTAAAATTGAGGTTGAAATTTGATAATTTGGGGGACAGTTAAGTGGATGAGAAAAGGTCATGGTGAAAAAGCATAGTATTAGAGAGAGAAGGCGCGGTTTGCTATGTGCATGAACATTTATACACGTTATGAAAACCTGCATGGAGATTTCACCAGCACGTTGAGGCCACGTTGTAGTCGTACTGACTGTGTCAGGGAAGTTACCCTCTCCAGCAGCCCTGCTGATTTGGTGGTATTTCTCTCATGGGTAGAAATAGCTGTGGCTTATCAGAGGAGCTGAAAATAATTTTTTGGGCAGTTTGTAGCATGTTGGACCCTCATACTGAGAAGTCCATTCCTATGTTACCTTTGTCTGCTAGAGGCAAAATAGTGATATTTTTGCACAGCTGCAATAATTTATTTATTTTTGAATCTCTTTTTTTTTCCCTCACCTACTTTAGGAGTTGGAAAATCAACTTGCAGGTAAATCCAAAATTCTTGATGAGCTCACACAGAATGTGGCTTTGAAGGATGGTCCAGAGCAAACCCCCGAAGCTGCATCTCTCCGGACAGCTGAACTGTGTGAAATGAGGGACTGCGTTGCCAGCCAGGTATAGGCTTTGTTTGGGTTAAGATGTCCCTCCAGTATCTATCCTTGCCACCAGTGTTACTAATTCAAGGAACGTTACTCCTTCAAGGAATGGCTGTAGCTAGTGCAGCAGAGATGCAGAATATGCCTTATGCCTAATCTTAACCCTCCTAGGAACTTCCTTAAAATTCTGTACTGTTGTAACCATGAATCCATTTTCAACTTTGAGAAAGATAGAAAAGGGAAAAAAAAAAAGGGGAGGGGGGCGGAGAGGGAGGAAGGTTAATCTCAAAGCATATTAATTACAGGGGGAAAATGGTCAGATCCTCATTTGCAATTTCAGAAATCAGGGAAATAGCAGTGGTATTTTTCTGTCAGCTGAAAATGGAAGCCTTGATTGCAGCGACTAGATCCACTTCTGTCACGCTGCAGCCTCTTCCCCTCTGTTACACTGTTGGAAGCTCTCTGCTCCTGCTCTGCTCTGCTCTCTCTGGAGCTTTTCCATCTCCCTGCTGCTCTTCCTTCCCACCCCCAGACTGCTTTTGCTTTATTCAAATCCTGTGTAGTTCCCAGTTGCTTCATGGATAGCCTGACCAGTTCCCTAATCCATACAAACTGAGTCACCAGCACTTTGCACGTAGGTTGTGTTTGCTTTATACTTGCAATTGGTATTTTTAAATTTATTTTTAACTTAGACATAATAATATATAGTAATGAGTACATTTATAGATTTAAATTTATGATAATAAATAACTATGTCCTGCAGAGGATTGTATGTGATGCAATGATTGCATTTATAGTTAAGATTATAGTTAAGATTATTAAGATAATCCTTGATTATCAATCTGCTTTTTTTCCTCAAAAATTTATCTGACTGGAACTCTTTTGCTTGAACTCTTCCACGTGCATATTCTGCCCAGGATGGGGCCACTGCTGCTTTTTCTAGTTTCAGCAGAAAAGCTGTGGTTATTTCGTGAGAGAGAGAGCAAGGATATTTTTGTGTACATGCAAGATAAAAAAGGAGAGTTTTTGCTTTTGGTGTGGAGATCAGGATTGAAATTGGCAGGTTTAACAGCATAGGTTTTTTTTTTTTTTTTTTTTTTTTTTTCTTACAGCTGTGGGCCATATTAATCTTAGTATTTTTATGACTTCATTGTTGAACTTAGGAACTGCAGGATATTCTTATAACCCAGCAGTGTCCATGTGTGATGAAACATGGAGTGCAGGTTTGTTCTCTTGGGCAGCTGGCCTCAATAGGAGCCTGTCTGTGACTTTGGGCACAGTCTAAGCAAGATGGGACACAGGGATGGTACCGAGCTCAGGACTCCCAGTCTAGCCCAGAGACATTTCATGAGCACAACATCTTTCCATACTGTGTGGGCAGTAATTAGCTGCAGGCTACTGACAGCAATTAAAGATTCCTCCCACCTAAACGAGGATTCAGATGAGAATAGGGATGATTAATCCGTTCACCCCTGCGTGGCTGGAGTGCGGATACGCAGCCACGGCAGAGAAGTGTCCTCATCTCCCATTGCATGGATATATAAACAGAATCCTAACCTGTCATCTCACTTTGATAGATGTTTGCTTGCCTCGTTTTCATGCTCTTCTCAAAGCTTCTGGTTTCGGCATGGCTGGCAACAGATTTTTGACCTGGATGAATGTTTCATCTAGCACAGTACATGCCTCGTATACTTCCCTGGTACAGAAGGCAAAAATGGCAAGTTGCACTGAAGCAAGTCTGCAATTTTGCCTTTGTAATGTCCAGAAGAATGTGGCAAATGGACATCTCGCCCCAGTATAGTTTAACCGGCCGTAATAATGAAGGGAGCAAAGAAAAGCAGTAAGGAAATCCCTTATGTCATTGCAAATGAGAATCCTGAAGTTCCTGGATTGTATTTCTGGCTAGTCTGCATTTTTACAGCATAATGACGTAAAGGGATGTTGATTCTTACAGGTGTAGTAGTTGCATCTTCCATACAAAACAATTTCTGTTGAAATTTTCGTTAAAATGAAACTTGATCAAACTATCTGTTTTCTGACAAGACTGAAGTTCTCTACTTTGCACCACTTCAAATTGTTTTCTGGCTGCAAGGAATAAGCAGTTCTTTGTTTCAGTACATTTTACTTTCTTGGGGCTTCTGTCATCATTCCACTGACAGCAAAATTCTACTTTGGTTATAATTCTATTTCTATCAGACTTTTATACTGTAGTCTACTACCAGGAATACTGCTTGCTTCTTGCTTTGAAACATCTGTGATTCTGTACAAAGTAGGAAAATATTCCGAATTGTGAAATTCTTGTGGATTGTCATGGAGTGAGCACTGAGATGAGATTTTTGAATCAACTTTAAAATGATTTATATTCAGCATCGATCAAGAAATAATAACAAATGTGATTTCTCTGCAGATTCAGCAGTTAAGGACCTCCATACAGGCAATCCTGCGGCATTGGAAACTGTATGATGAAGCTTATGGAGAAGTCAGCCTGATGATAACAAGATATTTGTACTGCATAGAGCAGTGCAAACCTTCTGTGCTGTCACTAGAAGCTTTGAAAAACCAGGTCAAAACTCTCCAGGTAAATCTACTAAAGTTAAAAGCTGTTTTCTTAATCTCATACTTCCTTCTGGGCTTCAAAATAAAAACCCAGACCCACTAAAACAAAAACAGATTTTTTTCTTTCAATTAACTTCCTCTTTATTGTGTGCCAGTAAAGTTGGTTTAATTTTTTATCACCACCAGAGGACTCTCTTTAGACTTTGTACTTTTTGACACGTAAACTCAGCTTGGGTGTACCAGGGTTCAAGAATCAAGTCTAAGAGAGTGTCTGCTTTGGACTGCAAAGGTCCTTTGATATTTTATTCAGCCTTTTGCACATGCCTGGAGGCCTCTCCCTGTGAAGCACCCGCTCCTCGTGCTTCGCTGCAGTGCAGAGTCCAGGTGGATATATGCCCTCTGCTGCCAGGCTTTCTCCACTGGGTCTGCTCCATCCATGTCTAATCCACATGGACAGCAGTTTAGCTCAAAATACAGCTTGCAAAGGAAAAGGTAATGCACAGGTTTGCCTAAAAGTTACTTCACTATTCACCTTCACCATTCATAACTCTGCAGTGATGTCTGCACAAACACTTTCCACCCCCACCTGGGGGCTTGTAACAATTTGGAGAAACTGGGCACCTTCCTCCTCCTTTTCCTCCTACAGCCTCTTTATTTTTAATCTGTATTTGTTCCCAGATATGGTCCTTGGCAAGGTCCTACAATCATCTGTACTGGGAGCTGTGAAGCTTTGCCAGCAATAGAAATGTCCCTGAAATCTTGGCTTCAATTTTGCTTTCTAGTGGATTAGGTTAATTGGTTCAAGGTTGCAGGTTTGTTAAACAAGCTTTTTTCTTAAAGAACAAATAAATGACCTGGGTTTAAAGTAGCCCACCTTATTTATTTTTTTTTAAACTTGCATCATTTTACCTCACTTGGAATTTTGTAATTTTTAGAATCAGATGTTACACCTTTCACAAACATATTATTCAGTGCTGCAAATGTGGATAGCATTATTGTTACTGTATTCTCTCTAAGCTATAGGGGAGGCTGTGCTTAGGTCATCCATCTCCACAACTAATCGCAGTAATCCATTTTGCAGTCTCTTCAGGATGAGCTAGAGACCAGTGAAGAAAGTTGGGCCAAGCTCCAGGCTGCTGCCAGTAGTCTGAAGGAGAGCTGCTCCCCTTCCTTCAGAGAGATTATGCAACAGAAATGCAACAAGGCGCATGCCAGGTAAACTTGTGAAAAGTATCCCAAAAAGTTGCTGAGACAGGACTTGAACGTCTGTCACACGTTTAAATCTATATTGGGATTAGTCAGCTGTCTAAAGGTACGAGTAGCTGACGCTGCCTTTTTGTGATGGATCACAGAAATGATATGTCAACCACTTTGCAAAACATCAGTATTATTGATGATTATTCTGCTTCCTGTAACATGAAAGCAAAAAAACTCTCTTGCACCGAAACATATTCTGATCCAAGAGGAGAATCTCCAAGGAAAAAGGCCTTATTATCATCTGATGTGTTGGCAGGTGGAGTTCAGTAAATGAAGACATTGCTGATCAGCTGCGGACAGCACAAACGATCCTGCAGCTGTGGGAGCCCTACGACACTTTATGCACAGAGGCAGCAGCCAAGTTAGAACAACAGGAGGAGCAGTGTGTGCAGCTCTTGGATGCTCATGTGCCCGAGGATAATATGGTAGAAACACTGAAGCAGAGGATTCAGGATGTAAAGGTACATGAATATGTTTTTGCTGTGTTGTACAAGTGGGGATTTATTTTTAAAAGAATTCAGAAGAACGACTTCGTATTTCCTTTACATACTTTTGCCAAATGTTGAGATGAAACTAAGCTACAGTTAGCGTAGGATGAGAAGAGAGAGAGGAGCAATATTCTTGGCCCTTCTCTCCCCTACACAAAGAATCAGGGCTATGTCAGAATCAATAAACTGAAAATGATTTATTTTATGGGGCAGTATTTGGAGGAGCAAGCAGTACAGTCTCTTAGAACAGTAGCTGGAAAAAAGACTATTTTTTACAGAACAGTGTACCAACTTGAAGTCTCCTACAGCATTTTCTTTAGATCTTTGGTACTTGATTTTGGTAGATTTTTTGGCCGGGTCTAATGAGCTAACAGATTTCTGAGCTCATTAGCTTATTCCAAAATACTTCTGACTTTTGGCAAATGAGGCCTCATGCTGAGACCACAAGGTACATTTGACACTTTCAGACAGCAAAGCTGTCATTAGGTTCTGACACTTCTGTTTTTTTCAGACTGCAATAAAGAAATATAATAATCCTCATTTCAGGACAGAGTAATGACTCATCCTGTTTTATGAATCTTTAGCAGCACTTTGGAAGACATCCAAAGTACCCTGTCTTGCATGTGGCCAACAGCAAAATTCTGCATTACAGAAAAGAGAACTCCTGTATTTCTTTCCACATCAGAAAGAATTGACAGCAGCAAAATTTGGAGCAAAGCATTTTCACTTTCTTCTGATATGTTAATGTCTGAGACATAAATTTATATATATCAGCAAAGAGCCATCAAATTTTATGGAAACGAGACCAGGAAAAAAGTTTTGCAAGTGCTAAACTTAGGATGACTGCTAGAAAGCCATTAGTGCTGTAGATGCCTTGATGTGTATGGGGAGGACACATGCAGTTTATTGAGTGAGCAGAATGAGGCAGAAGAGTAAGGAGCAGTGCTATGGCTTACAAGTTATAGGGAGTTGTATTTGAAAGCAAAAGGGTATTTTAAACTGCATTTCAATGCCTCTAATCTTTTTCTGTAGTATATATTAGGAAAGATTACGGGTTTATGAGTTGGACTGTCATCACAACAAGTGCAGATTAAATCCAATATACACAGTAAGATATCATAATGGGTTGTTCAGTAAATGGCTGAAGTGGCAGTTTACAGTGCGATCAATTCCAAAGACGGGGTCAGGGATGAAGAGCACTGTTTTTTAGGGAAATGTGACTCTTCTTTGCTATCAATAAGAAGCTTATTTACTCATTACTCATAGAAGAGACAATATTCAGTGGCAAATTCAAGGCTTTTTCTTGGCCAAAAGTAAATGCTGGTTGTCAAAGTTAGTGTATTTCAGGATGCCATCCTGCCATTGCTTGAGGAAGTGGAAACAACTTGTTTTGTTCTTTCACTGCCTTTAGAGATTAATTTTATAGCATGATTTCTATAGTAGAGGGACACAAATAAAAACAAAAGCATAATCCTCAGTGGCTAAGGGATCCAAAGTACTGGTATGTATATACTGATATATATATATGTAAAAAAATCTTTTTATTATCTGTAGCATGGGCCAGTTTCTCCATCTGCTAGCATAAATCCATTCTGCAGACAGAGATATTGTAATTACTCTCCCTAATCTCCTCTGTAACAGTGCTATCCTGCTGTTTAAAGTCACTGGTGTCCCATTGAACTTTGAACTGTGCTTTTCCCAGCACTAGAGTCATTGGATGCAATTCCCATTATCACTGGAGTAGAAGACCAAAGCTTTCACCGCAGCTGAACTTGGCTCCCAGAGGAGATCAACAAAAAGGGCTTAGTTACAGCAACAAAAGATACTAAATGAAAGTGGCACATGAATGAAGATCTGATTCATTTGCTGCTTTTTTTTCTTTCTTTCTTTATTTCCTTCCTCTTCAGAGTTTGCAGCATGGCCTTCAAAACGTGCAGGGGTGCCGTTCACGGATTTCTGAGCTGGCAGACCAGATAAAACAGCAGGCTGGGACCGCAGCACAGACCGTTCTTTTGCAGAAGCTGCAGCCACTCAAGAGAGCAAACTATTTAGAAAAGATGCTGCAGCGGAAATTGGATGAATTTGAGGTATTTTTCTGAATAGTAAATTAACTGCCAGTGCAAGGTAGCTTCTCCACTAGACCCTGATGCTGAACTGGAATTGAATTTGAATAAAATAAAGTTTGACATTGTGGTCCACCATGTAAAGAAATAATATACGAAGCCAGAGGGGCTGATGAAGGAAGAGATTTGCCCTTCTCACCTACTTGTTGTATTCTGTTGCTCTAATAGGCATTTCTAAGCAGACTTATTACTGCCAAGGACTACAGGGCCCTCACATGATTACTAGTTAGGAAACATTTTCATACTCTGTGAATGCTTTGGTGTAAAGTTTCTTGGCTCTGCCTTGGAACAAATATAAGGGCTTCAGTTTGCTCTGATGGAAATGAACACAATGTACCTGAATAACCAAAATCTGATGGTCATTTGATGTAATTTGATGTAGTGAAGATCAGATTCCCCTCCCTCTTAGGCAGAGCAGGAACCTGGATCGAGGTTTCCACATATGATGCTCTGCTCATGGGAGTGCTATGGAATTGATTTTCCTCTGAGCAGGTAATTCTGAGAAGACTTCCAAGCAAATGTACTCATCAAAAACATTTCATTCCTTTCAAAAAGTCAGGTTTCAAGTGTTCTGAAGTAAACCCATCTCAAGAAATTTCAGCCAACTCTATTGATGACTCCTTTTGCCACCACAATTCAATTGCTGGAAGCCAGATATCTTTCTGAAGATAACGTATTTCTCATATTCCCTGTAAACTTCACATTCCATGAAAATTTTCATTTCTGAGTAATATGGGTAAAATATTTTCTCTGGTGTAACATTAAAGTAGTAGCACAAAATTCTTTGTCCCCCCGCATCAATTTTTGCCATTTTCTCCTTGTAAAAATACTTCTGTTTGAGAGCTATTTCTTCTCCCTGACCCAAAGAAACAAAGTGATTGAAACTGCTCCTTTGTGTATATCAAATGTATGTATATATTTATATATACAGTAAACAAGTTTATGATTAATATAAATATGCAATATTCATCCTAGTTCAATCTTTCACAACTGGAGGATTTCAAGAACTGTCTGGAAACACTGGAGGGTCATGTCAAGAATTGCGCAGATGCCCTGGATAACCTGTCTCTAGAGGGAGAAACAGATAACACAGAACTGCTCATGGTATGTTCAGACTCCTAACTACAAAAAGATAAACACTCATGATTTAAGTGTCTGTGGGATGCCAGCTCTTCTCTACTTCAAGGATCTCTTTGTGCCATAAGTTTCATAGTTATGTCACTCGCATCTGAGTGACTACAATGTCATGTAGAATGGGAAAAGCAATGATTTAAGTTTGTAAAACTCAAGATAAGTCCTGCAGGCCAAATAGCCTATGTGGAGGGAAGGAAAACCAAGTGGATTTGGGGTTGATGGGGGAGATGCCTTGTTCTAGAGCCAGAGTGGCATGTTGGAGTGAACTTCTCCTGGCATCCCAGGAATCCCTGTGGCTGTGAGCAGGAGCTCTCTTGCCCTCAATGTGGGGTTAGCAGTAATTCTGCATGACCCAGCTTCTGTTAAAACCTCAGAAAGTTGAGCCATATATAGGGGTTTTTTTATTTATTTATTTTCTGTATTCTGTGAAGTTAACACAGAAATATTGTTCGGATAAATGTTATTTGTTCGCATTTGGGTACATCAAATGCAGGTGCTTCCTTAGTGTTACAAAAGACTCTTCGTATTTCTTTGATACTAAAGCAAGGCAGTACTTTTTGCAGTTATTCTTTTTTTTTTTTTTTTCCAGAATCATACCCTGGAGCTCGCTGCCCTGTCACCAAGCGTAGAAAGCCTCAATGAAGCCAGTATTAAGCTGCCCCTCAGTGACTTCACTCTGAAGAAAATGCAGAGCCTGACACGGCAGTGGAGTCAGAAAACGGCAACAGCTCTGGAGCGCTGCAGGTTAGAAATGCAAACAAAATAACTACTAACCAGTTCCTTTCCTAAGAGGAAAGTCAAAACCCTGTTAAAGCATAGGAAGTTTTGCAAGCTGTTTACAGCTTTCTCGTGGGTCATTCCAAGAATTCCTGCCCTTCTAACTTTTATTCAGTGACTATTTGTATTCTAAGGCACTTGAAGCAAAAATATTCATGTTCACAGGTGAAGAAGGTAGCAGGAAAGTGCCTAGTAAACCCCGCTGTGTTATTGTTGCTAACCATCACGCTAGACTGTATGTAAAGTATCTAGAAAAAAACAACAGTAAAGTGAGTTTTGATTATTTCTTTCGTTTTGCAGTGAGCTTGAAAGAACTCAAACCGATGAAAATAAGTTTTTTCAGAAGTGTGAAAACTGGATGAAATTCCTAGAAAAAATGAAAGAGGCCTTAAAAGCAGATATTCCAGGTCGTTTTGAAGAATTGCAGGAGCAACAGAGAGTATATGAGGTAAAGCTATCTTTAAGAATGGCCATATCCTCTTGCATTGTGGCACTTGGGAAAATTCTTCAGAAAATCCAATTGCTTATGAAATTAGATGTGGGTAGAGTGTTACAGTGCCCAAGTGCGCAACTGTACCCAGAGTAGGAGAGTACATTGCATGTTAGCAGAAGCATCTGGATACAATTCTAAGCAAAATTGAGTATAAACTTTGTCCTAGTGGAGGGAGGCTGGAGAAATGACCAACATACAAAATAATTATGTGGTAAATGCTGAACATGATGAACTGAAATTTAGGGTGGGCTTCGTCTTGAAGGTGGTAGATGGAGTTTCAGCCTACCCAAAGTATAGCTGCTAATTCCACAGGGTGCTGCTAAGTCTTTGTGTTAATGATAGTCATGATTTATACAGTAAGCTTCTGCTCATTGTAATGAAGAGTGGCAGGGCTCAATTTAGCCTTTTATGTGTCTTTTTATAGTTACTGTCTAAACTGCATTTCTTATGAATGAGTCCAGCAAGCTTCAGGCAACATAGAGCTTTTGTTGGGGCAGTTACCATGTATGTGCAAGTACCACCTGGTATCCAAAACGTATGCAAACTTTTAGGAAGAATTTGTTAACAGCACTTGAAAATAATAGAGCATTCAGCATCTAAACTGTGTGTACTGTGACTTTAGAAGAGCAGAACCAGATTTCAAAGCAAAGATTGTTTAATGAATAATTTAAAAAGCTATTGTTGTTATACTATTTTCAGATGTTGCAAACCGAAATTTCTATAAATCAGCAAACGTTTAACTCCATCATAGCAAAAGTTCTACTCTTCTTGGAATCTGGAGAAGCAGAAAAAAGGTAACTTATTTTCTGCCTAAGATCTTGCTAAATTATAACTGATTCAATGGATAGGATTTGTTCCTTGGAATCAGTATCGAATGTTTTGCTCTTAAGAGAATGCAAACCCAAACCCATCACCAGGTTGACCCTTTAAATAAAGAGCTGCCCCAATAGGTTTGACAATAATAAAAGTCCTTCGCTCTGCAGTTATAGCTGAGTACTGTAGGACACAGCTGCCTTTTACGGCTTGGTAAAAGCACAGATCGATTTTGCAGCAGAAGCAGAGGGTCCTGTCCCACTTGCAATGACTTTCTTGTTCTTCAGAGAATATATTTAGTGCATATTATTTTAAAATATATGCAGTGTGTATCACTTCAGTGATTGTTGTGCTATGTACATTGCCACGCTGTGACAAGAATGACTTGCATTATCGAGTCTTGTACCTTGGAAAAGACTGAATACAGAGAACAGGGCTAAGCTTGTACAGACTGCACAGGCCTTTCACACAGTTGGATATTTGAACTGGAATTTTATAATCAAATGAAAATCCATCACAATTATTGGAAAATACAGCTTGGAAGTTAAGATTACTAACATTCTAGGACATTTAAGATATACTAACACTCAACACCTGACATATCTTCAGAACGGAGTTCATTTCCAAGCTCACGCTGCTGAAGGAGCAGTGGCAGAATGTTATCCGGATGGTTCAGCAAAGGAAGAAGGATATTGATGGACTCGTGAGCCAGTGGCAGCTTTTCAGGAGCTCCCTGAGGAGTCTCAGCAGGTTTCTTACTGATACAAACAACTTCCTCATGGCTGTGAAGAGCCAGGACTGCTGTAGCCTTTACCAGCTAAGAAATCTCATCCATGACTTTAAGGTACTTTTTTTTTTTCTTTTTTTTTTCTTTTATCCCTGATAAATCAAAAATTTATGGGATTTTTTGGATTGAAACCTCTTTTGTCCAGTAAAGGAAAAAGGCTTTAAAATTACCTGCTTTCTTGTGCTAAACCAATTGCTGACTGACCTTTTTTCTTAAACTTGAGCAGAGATGAGAAAACAGTGCCATTGTGAAAAACACATTATACTAGGAAGGTTCTTGGGAAGCACTGTCATTTAGTAGCCTTGTATGCTCCATTAAAAAAAATCTATGGCAGCATAGCTATTGATATTAGCATGGAAATCCAGCATAGATGAGGGTGGCCAGAAGACATCCTCCAAGTCCATGTGCCATTTATCAACAGCTGCTTTAATACCAGGCTTGCAGCTTGCCTGCCCAAAGCAGGCATAGATGGGGCAGGACTGAGCATAGGGGCCTTTTTCAGTTGAATTATGCACCCCTTTTATGAGAAGGTTGGTGCAAACATTGAACTCAGTTGTTGCTTAAGGCAAAAATGTTTTAAAATATATTATTGCTTAATGCAATGTTGCATTTAGCACTAGGTCTATTTGCTTCATCTTCAATTTTGTCTGCTGCTTAAAGGCGGCTTTCAGTAGTTTTTATGCATTAGTTTCTTATGCTTTTCTTTAATGAGAAAAGTGAGAAAATCTTCCTTCTCCGACTCCAAATTGCCCTTGTCTCCTACTGTTGCTTTATAAAGAGAAACAGTGATTCTGCCTGCTCATGGTATGGATGGATTTATGTTGTAGGCAAATTAAATTTGATGGGTTCCTTCACTTGGAGTATGTCACAAGTAACAAGGATGCTGTCTCTCAAAAAACTGTCTTATCTGTGCTGGCAAATAGGAGTGCTAACCAGACTTTAAAATAATTATTTTTACTCCCAAATTACTCATGCAGCTAAAATTTCATCCTTTCGTAACTGTTCCAATTTTGTTGGGTCATCTGAGTGTGTGAAAAGCTATTGTAGAGTTCAATAGATGGGAAAAAGTCTGGAGGCCACCAGGACAGCGCTCGGTGCCACCGCGCAGGTACGGGGCAGGTGTCTGGCGGTGGAGTCGGCATCTGTTTGTTGCTACCACAGCTGCTCTGGTGTGAAAATTTGGTGTTAAGGGAACCTGAAAACAAGGGGAGACCCTGCTTATTTCCTTTGGAGATCTGTTTTCACAGCCAGACAGCATGCATGGCTTACAATTCAATACTGCTAACATAATTCTGGGCTGAGAGTTGTATTGATAAAAGCCTCTCAGTTTGGACAAAGGGTATGCAAAATATAAACACTTTGAGCAGAAATATTCTGTAAGGCAAATCTTAAGTATTGTAGGATGCAAATTCTTCCACCAAAAAACAAACTAGAGCCTATGACTCCAGCAGGCTGAAGTATGGCTATTTTGTAACCTGTATATATAGTACGATATATCTTTCGTATCTTGCTTTTGTAACTTCCAGAGCTGGGACTGCTGTGAAAAGCAAACAAAGGAACTGGAAAGTCGACTGAGAGAATTAAAGGCAAAAGTGAAAGTTCCACTTCCAGTTGAACATGATGAACTCTACAATGCCAAGGAGGACATTAAGGTATTGAACAGGCAGATTGTGCTTAAACAGAAGTATTCTTTGCACAGCACCTAATCCCTTTGAAATCAGTTTTCCTTCTTACCTGCTCTTCAACAGAACTGAATCCCTTTCTCCTATTCCATCCTGATTGCTGCCAATCTGCAAATTGAGATGGACTAATCTGCATGGATCAGGGAGATTATGGCAGCAAGAAAGTTATTTTAGGGTTGTTTTTTGTTTGTGTTTTGTTTTTTTCCTGCTCCCTTTCTGAGGCCTAAATTTATAGTCCCTCAGCAAGTTAAAACTCTGATTTCTGCTGGAATTGGCTGTCCTCCTAACGGCTGAATCTCCCTTCTTGTTCCCTAAACCGCTTTGGACATGGAACTCGTCTGGCGAGAGGCCTTATTATTTTCCTTATGTGTCTGTAAAGTACCACACACACCTGTGGGACCTCAGAATAATTAAAGAGAAGGAAAATTAAAGTAAGGGAGTGGCAAAAGCCCTTGCAGTCCATAGCACATCATAAAAATTAAACAGCAAGGAAAGTATTTTTCAAGGGTAGAGACATTTTGTCTGGACTGGTCAGTCTTTCATTATGGCAGCAAGAAAGTTATTTTAGGGTTGTTTTTTGTTTGTGTTTCGTTTTTTTCCTGCTCCCTTTCTGAGGCCTAAATTTATAGTCCCTCAGCAAGTTAAAACTCTGATTTCTGCTCGAATTGGCTGTCCTCCTAGCGGCTGAATCTCCCTTCTTGTTCCCCAAACCGCTTTGGACACGGAACTCGTCTGGCGAGAGGTCTTATTATTTTCCTTATGTGTCTGTAAAGTACCACACACACCTGTGGGACCTCAGAATAATTAGAGAGAAGGAAAATTAAAGTAAGGGAGTGGCAAAAGCCCTTGCAGTCCATAGCACATCATAAAAATTAAACAGCAAGGAAAGTATTTTTCAAGGGTAGAGACATTTTGTCTGGACTGGTCAGTCTTTCATCATCCTTTTATGAAGTGAAGTCTTGACTCGTGTGGTGGGAATAAATAAGCTTATTAATGAGCCAGGGCTTTAAACTCATTATCAGCTGTCTGAAATCTTCTTTGCGAGCGCTGGCTGCCTTTCCCACAGCAGCAATCTGGCTGTAACCCTGAAGTACTTTTGCAATGGCAGAGCCTGTCCCTGTGCAGCTCCTGCCTCTCTTCCCAGCAAGTAAAATTCGTCTGTAGAAATGTCACTGTCAGACAGTGCTTGTGCAGATACTACTCTTGGCTGTCAAAGCATAGTAAAATTCAGGACTCTGATTAGACCTTTGTTAAGATGCATAAATGCATGTGCTCTTGTCTGTGGGGAACATTTCTTGTGAACTCAGGTAAATTTTATTCCCAATTCTATTTAATTTATACCTTTCTAGTTATTTTTTTCTCCAGTCTTGAAGCAGATCAACAATTCCTTTTTAGGATATATATAAGTGATTGGATCAAAAGAACTGTGCAAATACTCACAGGGCTTGGACCCAGCACCACCTGCCCAACACAAGCACTTACACTTTTTCTTTAAAAGTAAGACCAACTGGATCATATTTAAGAATATTTTTGTCAGAGGAGCCAGCAACACTTCCCAGGGACTGCCCTGTAAAATGGGACCAAATGCCACATCCGTGGAGTACGCCGCTTCCCTGCCTGCTCTGCTTTTTTTTGGAGGACCATTCAATATGGTTCCGGAAAGCACAGCTCCTGACTTTAAAAGCTTGCAAGCTGCAGATGTGTGAGAATTCTGATGAAATGTCTGTGAGGTCAGATCAGCTGGAGTCCTGCCATGGGCTGCAGTGGCTGCAGAGTCAGGTCTGGCCTGAGACCTGGGCAGGGGGACCCGAGGCAGCAGAGCTGAAGAGTTTGCACATGCGGCTGCACATTCCCCTGCTCTCCTCCCCCACAGGCCAGCGGGGGATTAGCAAGCCGGTTTGGAAACCAGAGGAGCTTAGAGCCAAGGCTTTTTCTGGGTGTGTTTCCATGCAGGAGCTGGAGCAGTCCCTGGCAGACTGGGCCCACAGCATGAAGGAGCTGCGGGCCATGAAGGTGGAGCTGGCGCACTGCATCCTCTCCGAGGACATGCTGGTGCTCAAGGAGCAGGTCGAGCAATTTGCACCGCAGTGGGAAGAGCTCTGCTTGCGGGTGAGTTTCCTGCGTCCTCCTTGTTTTTACAGGGCCGTATTCATATTCATGGGCCCTCCCAGGGAAAACGGGGTTGCTTTTTCCAGCTGCTCCCTCACAGCGCAGCTGAGCCGGGGGTGAAGCCGGCCTGCAGGCTCCCTCCTCACATCCCGCGCGGTGCTGCGGTTTCGTTCTGTGCAAACTCTCAACTTCAGCAAGTGGCTGAGTTGCAGGGAGCCAACACGCAGCTGTTTACCAAAGTACACGGCTTTGTTCCGGCTGTGGAGGGGAGGGAGGGCAGCAGACAGGGATGCGCTCGGGAATGGCCTTGGGGTGAAGCAGGCAGAGGAAGAGGGAGGCCTGCAAGGGTCTGAGGTAAAAATACCAGCAGAGTCGATTTTAAGAAAACTTAAATGTGTTTAAATACTAACTTCTTGCTAGCAGGGAATTGTCTTATTCTTTCTTTAGTTTGTTGTGAAACATTTGTATTCTTCGTGGCTCATTGCTACATTGTGCTTAATTCAGCGCATGTGAAACTGTGGGGAAAAGTCACCGGCAAAGTCACATGAACTTGATTCACTCGCTTATTGTGCTGGCTGAATGTGTGTTTGCTTTGCCCCGTTCATGGGAGTTAGAGAAGCAAAATATTTCAAGGTCTTAAGCTGCTCTGTATAGCTCCACATGTCAGCAAGGCAAACTCAGGCCCTACTTTACTCGCCAGGGAGTGTTTTTTGTTTCACAGCTTGCAAAATAGTAGTGGGGAAGCATTGCTATTTTGTGTCCTATCCTTACTGTGGCAAAATTAAATCAAACTTGGTGGGAGTATTGCCGGAGTAAGCAATGAACAACCAAGGTGATTTCACAGACTTTGGTGTGATGAGCTTGTTGTTTAGGTTTCTTGTTTTACATTGCAACGAGAAGGAAGAACTTAGTATCTTTGCCTTAAAATTGACAGTTAATCCATGATCCGTATTCTCTCTTTTATTGTTTCTGAACTAAGAAAATAATTACAGAAACACCCTCTCCCCTGCCCCACGTATAGGTCAATATTTTTAATTTGGGATTCTGAAAATCGAGCTACGTTTTTTGTACCCAGTTACAGTCTATCCAAGTTGCGTACTTCCGACTGTAGTAATTTAAATTCAGGTTTTACTCAAAATTTCTATTTTGGTGTCCTGAAGGGAACAAAATTTAAGCAGTCTACCTTGGAGAGAGAAGAAAAAAGGTGACACTAATGTTGCTATAATTTCTACACACACACACGCACACGCACACACACACACACACACACACAAACCTGTAGTGGGAGGAAGCCTCTTCAGTGCCGTGAGCTGAAGGACACACGGAAATAGTTGCAGAGCCCTAATTGGCTCCAGAGAGCTGTCACGGATGCTCAGCTCAGGACACGAGTACACGGGATCAGCCTTGCTGCCGGCATAACTGCCTTGTTTGGCTATCAGATTAGAGGAGTCCAAGACGTATTGTCTGAAAACAAACTGTGAGGTAAATGCAGAGGAGACGCTGCCGCAGCTGTCGCGGGTGCCGGAGCAGGGCGGCCAGATGCCCATGCTGGACAAAGCTGGGAAATAAGCACATTTAATGAGCAGATGCACTCAGAGGGATTAGTTTTTACATAGCTGCCCTTGCCAGGTAATGTAGGTCAGAGATTTAGCTATTTGTGCCAGCGAAGATCCCAGCCTAATGAATGTCAGTGTATGGGACACACTGTCAGAGGGTGAATGTCTGGTGTCTTACTCAGCAGTAAGTGCAAACCTGTAAGAACACAGTGCTGTGGGGCTCATCTCTTTGCTCAGATCAGGTAGTCAGCAAGAAAGCTTTAGACATCTGATTCACTTCCCCACTCCCCTCTTTAAAAAGTTGGAATTTAGATGACAAAAGCAGCAATTCTGAGAGATCACTCAGTAGCTCCCATTTTGATCCAGGTATTACTTGGAGTTGGTCTTGGTTCCCCACTAGATGCTCAAACTTTGTACCAAGGTACAAAATAGTGCTGGAGGGTAGTTAGAGGAGAATCAGCAGTAAAGTTTTAAGGAGACACATGCTGTATGAAGTACATTAGATGTGAAAATGGAGATGTGTGTCGGGCCACACTGTGGTATTTGGAGTGGCCTTTTCAGTCAGGCCTGGGTAGGTAGCACTGACTACTAGAATAGTGAGCCTGTTCCTTTCGAACATTGTGGAGCACCGGTGGTTTAGTTTTCCTGTCTAGACCTTGTGTTAAACCCAACACATTTTCCAAGATAAAGGATAGATTTTTGATGTTGAGCTATTTTGAGGTTCTGTACGAGGAGATGGCCAAATGGAAGATCAGGGAAGTGTTTCAGAGATGTGATAATATCTGTTAGTGGTTGTGACGTTTCACCCACCACGATGCGATCTTGTGCAACGTGCACTAGGTGTCCCTGCTTGTGCAGGAAGGTTGGACTAGGTGATCTCCAGAAGTCTCTTCCAACCTCAACTACTCTGTGATTCACTTGCAAAATAACAAGGACTTACCTGGGGATGTTATCTATTTTGTGTTGTATATGAGACTTTATTCATTTTTATGTGGTTAGTTATATACTTTATGTCACTTCTTTGTTTGCCATTTTAAAGATTTTACTGAGCAATACTTAAATTGCTGTATAACACCATTATTTATAAAGCTGTCACACAGTTTCATTCCCCTCAAGGAGAGAATCTGCTGTTTGCTAGACAACTTCTGGCCCCGCTCTGCCAAATAACATGCCATAACAATATGCTTGCTGGCTTTAGAAAGAAATCCAGAGATACTTAATAACTGCTCTTGCAAAATGGAGCGCAATCAAATGGAGACTAGAAATTAGACCAGAGTAATCACTGTTTTCCTTCTCGACAAAGCTATAGCCAGCAGTTGATGCGTGTGCTCGTCCGCAGGTGTCCCTGCGTAAGCAGGAGATCGAGGACAGACTCAATGCCTGGATCATATTCAATGAGAAGAATAAGGAGCTGTGCTCGTGGCTGGTGCAGATGGAGAGCAAAGTGCTGCAGACTGCAGATGTTAGCATTGAGGACATGATAGACAAGCTGCAGAAGGTAAGTAACTGCACAGTGTTTACTGAATTGCAGTCTGGTAACTCATCATAGAGACGCCAGTCCCCATATCCCCACGTCTTCCTTGTTCCTGGGAAGTGAAATGTGGTCTAAAAACAGCACTTACAGGCTCTGCAAGGTGCTGAGATGCTTTATCCTCAGCTCTTACCTTCTCAATGCTCATATTGGGAGCAAAATGCAAAGCAGAAGTACCAGCCAGCTGCATTCAGGCGTCGAGTGTGGTGTGTTTTCATGACCAGTGTGGGGGCCTGGGCCGTTGTGTCTGAGCCTGCCCACGCGCGCGCTGCTCCCCAGAGCCTCCTTTGTGGGGATCGGAGGGGTCCTGGGGTGTCTCTGCTGGCACTGTCTCTAGCAGGGTCAGCTGCTAAGAAAAACTTGGAGGAGATGGCAGGTCTTATGCGAGCCGAATAAGGAGCTCCCACAACCAAAAATAAAATCTACAGATTGAAATGGGGAGTAGTCCTGTGCCTTCCTGTTGGTACTCAGTCCAGTTAGTGCTTTCTAATACCTTCCTATTAGCTTGATTTAAAACAGGGCTGGTTTTTGCTGCCTGTTTTTTCTGTGTGGCTTAAAGAGCTCAATATCTAATCCCAGATCTCCTCTGGATAAGAATACCAGCAAAATAAAGTCATCCTAGGCTTGAATTTGGGTTCTTTCAAGGTAACTTGATTGAAAAATAAAGTTAAATTAGAAAAGCAGGGGCAAATTTAGAACATTAAATTGCTATTTTTAGGAGTACTTACAGCTGGCCTTTACTAGACTTTAAGCTGCTTATTTTTTTCATAGTGACTTCATTGTGAGAGCTTTTCCATTGAGGATTTTTTGAGTGAGTTTTATGTACTAATGTAGAATCCTTGGCCATTCCAAGCCAAACCTATCTTCACATTCCACATGTGGAGAAAGAAATAGACAGTGTTGTTCAGTTTTGCTCAGGAACTAAGCAATGTTTGTGTGTGTTTGTCAGGATTGCATGGAAGAAATAAACCTGTTCAGTGAAAATAAGCTTCATTTGAAACAAATGGGTGACCAGCTCATCAAGGCCAGCAACAAGAGCCGAGTTGCAGAAATAGATGACAAACTCAACAAAATCAATGATCGCTGGCAGCATCTCTTTGATGTCATTGGAGCACGGTAAGAAAATGTTTTCAGTGTTTTAAGATAGAAGTCAGACACCAGTGTCCCCAGCCATCAGACTGACACAATTTGTGAATTCCACTTAAAATTAATTTTATTATTGAAATTCAAATTTAACTGCAGTTTTTCTTTTTTTGTTGTGTTGCAACTTGTTGCTATATTACGACATAGCAACCATGTGTTAATTTTCCCAGTGCTAGAGGGCAAGGTGGAAGAATTCATATATAATATAATTTTAATCATGAGAGCTATGTAAAAGGAAGAGTCAAAATATTTTCTCTGTTGGTGTGGAACACAGCTTTGTTTTAAGACTGTGTGATAGGAGTTTATTTGAAGTATTTTTAGGAGGGCCTCCTGTTTAAAAGACAAGTCTGTATTTTATCCTCACATATTTAGACCCTGAGGAGATCCCTGACCTGTGTGTGTATGTCTCTGCAAAAGGTCAGATTCATGTAATGATAATATTCCCTTTTGATCTTCAAAAGTGTATGGAATTATCCTAGATAATAGTGATTTTTTTATTTGTTCTTTCTTCCCTAACTATGATTGAAAGACCATACCACAAGCTTGTATTTTACTATATTTGTTATATTTTAAATTCAATATATTATGCATGGTGGTAACCTAGTGGTAGCATTACCAGGAGAAACTAAAACAAAAACCTGCAAGGTCCAGACAATGACCTCTTCTTATTGAAGTAAACATCCTCACAGTATTGAAAGAGTTAAGAACATGATGATAAATATAGTATTGTTCTTACTGAGGCTATCTTATTTCACAATAATTTCTGAGTTTCTACCACAACTTGGGAAGAGGATGCCGGGCTAGTCTCACCTCCCTCCTGCATTTATTAGCAATACAGAAATAAAAAGACCAACACAACATCAGTACCGGTCTCAACTCGTCTCCCAAGCTTTTGTTTTCCTTGTACCTTCCCACCTCGTGCTCCTCTGGGCCCAGAGCAGCTCTCCGCTTGGGGCAGGTGAAGTCAGTGGTTGTGCTGGGGCCATGCCAAGTGTGCTGGTCCTTAACCTGAAATTAGATCAGAATTAACATGAGCCATGAATGATTAAGCAGAAACTGCCTTCTTTGTATCTGCAGATGAGGTAGGTGTTAGATCCTTTTTGGAACAGTTCCTCTCGCAGTGTGCCAGTGTTGTATTTGTGAGAATTAGTGCTTTGCTTTTATAACCGGGATTTTTTTTGTTGTTCTTGTCTTATGACAACATACTTTTTGTGTTTAAAATGACTTTTGCAGTCATTTACATCTTGTTTTGTATTAGATATGAATCATAACAATCCTTAAACACAGATTAAAATGCATAGTGTTTTAAAGATCAAGTAAACATGGCACGTTTCCAGTGATATTTAGGAAAATATGCTAAAGAGCTAGTGGGATATTTGCAGTAATGCCTGGCTTGCTATTCAAGTAGTTGCTGCCAATTGAGCATTTGTCTGTCTGCTTGGGATGTCTTAGAGCTTTCACCTTCAGACAAGTGTGTTGGTGGTGTTTTGAGGTAAGTTAGTGCACATTTCCCTAGAGCATCAGCGTAGCAGCTATTAGAGAGGTGATTTGCTCCGATGTGACAGTTCCTGGGCTCTTGGCCTGAAAGACTTCTGTACGTGCTGGCTTCCATGTGTGATTTCCCTCCAATTCAGGAGCAGGGTGAAGAATTGGAAGGACTGATAGGAGGTGGTTTTAAGTGACCAGAGTTATGGGGCAGCCCTGTAAGTTTGCTGGTCCCCTCACTGTGTGTTGCGGCGTGGGTGCAGCACATCTCCACTGTCGTCTAGTCAAGGAGAAATTAGGAGGGAGCTGAATTAGGCTTGAATAGATGTTCATGGAGGTTGCCACCTCGGTGGTGGACTCTGGCACTACAAAAGAGGTCCCACCTGTGCTTTTTTGAGCACGCAGCCTCTTTTAAGCCCAGTGAGGGAGGAGTTGCATTACCGATCGCAGACATCACATGAGTTGGACCTCCTCATGAGGGGCAGAGCAAGGGATCTTGGCCTGGAGATGAGATGATCTGTGAGTGTGGGTTGTGATGCCCCACAGTGACAGACCATCTCTCTCCTTTTCACTTGGCTTTTGTAAAAGCCTTAGAATTGTATTTAAGCAGCACTAACAGAGCCAGGATGCTGCTGAAAACTGTGAGATGGCAGAATTTCGGTTGGCCCCATTGCACGGAGGAGGAGAGACTGCTGTACCTTGGAGCTGCTCCCCATCATGGCATACCCTGGCGTAGCCCCTTGCTCAGGATCCTGCTCTATCTGCTGGGGAAGATAACTGGGATGGAGCAAATGCCGCAGGGCAGGAGTGCCGGAGGCCTGGGGGGTTCTTACCACTGAGATAGGAGAATGTGCCCGGAGGAAAATTAGTAACTTCTGCAGCAGCAGAGAAACAATCTTGTCATGCTCCTGGCAAAGCTTCGTGTAGTGATTTATTTTCACAACATCTGAGTGAGTGCGGAGGTGGTTCTGCTTCTGGCTTTGTAGCTCAGTAGCCAGGAAGCTGCAGGTTTTCTGACGTTCGGGTGCTGAGTCTGAGACCACTTGGAGATTTTGTTGTTTGAATATGACAACGCCAGCAGGTTATTTTAAAAGCCCAACTGCCTGCTGCCCTTACTGCACTTTTGAGTGCCCAGTACTAGGACCTGTGTCCTAGGACCTAGGACAAGGATGGAATCTCACGGTGCCTCCAGGACAGGCTGTGACGTGGGCAGCACAAAGAGCCCTGAGCGATGCACTGAGCGCGAGGAGAAGGCCCGTATTGCTCCACTGCCTGTTCAAAGCCCTCCATCCTTGGGGTTCAGGCTTTCCAGCAGGTAAGATATGATCCTGTGGTTAAAGACTGTAAAATAATCCCTGTCTGCAAGGGACTTCAATCAAGTTTTATAGACGACTTTAATTCTGTTGTTTCTCACGTCTCCATGGATGACTGCAAGTAGCATTTATCTTTTCCGTGCTGCAGTACATGTATCTATGCCTACGTGATACCAAAATGAAAGCAAAACAGTCTTGGGCCAATCTAGCAGAGACACAACACTCCTGCTGATAGCTTATTTCATCATTTTAAACCAATAAACATCCTGGGACAGATGGGCAAATTAGGTGAGCTCTCCGCTTAGGCTGTGAAGTGATTCTCCTAGTTTGTGGTGACAAGCTCAGATCTGCCATATGGCAGCCCTCGCAGGACTTAATGTCTTTGTCATATGCGCGCGCTTGCCTTGCGTGGCGACAGAAGCCTGAGCGTGGCTCGGTGCACACCGGGAGAGGCTGATGTTCGCGGGATAAATCAGCTGTTAGGATGTTTGTTTGCTTCCCAGGCATGCAAATGCGGTTCTGTTCAGCCGTGAAGCTGCGGAGATTCTCTCGCTCGTGTGTCTTTGGTAGAGGAAGGCTATAAAGCTACCAACAGGCGGACAAGCTCTGCTGGTGTGAAAACAGGCACCAGAAAGCAAATCTCTTGCTTGTTTTCTCCAGCTGCCACAGCACTGTAGCAAAAGAGACGGCTGCGTGCTCGCCTGCTTGCCCAAGCGAAGGCTTGAAGCAGCTGGAGAGCAGGCGTGCAGCTTGCACGGGGTGGCAGGCAGCCAAAACCCACGGAGGGGGTTTGTGTGCCCGGCGTGCCTCGGAGGGAGCAGTGCTCCCCCAGCGCTGCGTTCACCACCAAAAACTGCCAGGGAGTCCCCTGTGCGCGTTGCAGGAATCCCTTCCAACGACCCTTTTGAGCAAACATGGCTTGTTGGGAGGCAGTGAGCTGATGCCGGCCTCCTTTTGGACTCTTCATCCTTCGGAACGGGAGCCAGGTGCCTCCCCTGCGTGTCTGCAAGCAGCTCTCCCTGCTTGTGCCCCTGGGGCAGGGCAGGCCGTGGGGCAGCTCCAGGCAGAGCACCCTCCTGCCCCGCTGGCCCTGCAGCCCATCAGCCCAGGCGCCCTCCTAGGAGTCCCCAGGGCTCCTGAGCTGTGCAGAGCAGTCCTGCAGGGCAAGTGAGGTGGTGTTTGCCGGGCAGAGACCCTGGGTGAATGATGCAGCCGAACCACCCGCGTCTGTCGCTGCAAAACTCTCAAATCTCCTCCTTGCAATTATTTTCTGGGCAAAAACTCATGCAGTTGAAATCTCGCCTGCCTCCTTTCCTTCCTTATGCTCCCCCTCCCTGAGGGATTATTGCTCCTCCCCGGTGCAAAAGCCGTGCCAGAGTTCAGCGGCTTATCAGGAGCTTCCCGATGTTATGTCACACGTACCCAGGTGAGGCACCGCCGGCCCTGCTTTCTGCCGCTCTTGTTTTTCCACCGGGCCAGATTCAAGGGCTGTTTCCCAACTTTCTGGCTCACCGTTGCCTTTTGGATCCTGCCGGAAGCTGTGATAAACTGCCGAGGTGGCTCAAGCCTCCGCCAGGATTTCCCTGCCAGGGTCCAAATCCCTGTGGCAGCAAGAGGTGAGAGGCAGCTTTTTCAGCCTGGCATATTTGCCCGGGGAGGGAATAGGAGCAGCTGGCATGCGAATGCAGGTGTGCCAGGGAGCACCTGAGTGCTTCAAGGCTGCAATGGTTTCCATCTCAAAGTCATTCCTTCCATTTTTTGGTGGAATTATCTTTTTTTTTTTTTTCCTCCCCCTCTTTGATATTGACTGGGTGGTGTATGACTTTTAATCCAAGGTCCTCCAATTTCTGCCTGTTTTATTTACCTTTCTTTTCCAACCCGTCTTCACTGGTTGTAGTGACGGTCACAAATTCCACCAGCATTATTTTGCCCTAAACAAATGCTATCAGAAACCCGGGCTGCTCTTTTGCTTCCTGTTGTTCTGCACTCCCAGCACTGGAGGCCTCTGCCTGCCCAGGAAGGTTAAAGACAGGACATGCCAGTGTGTGGCAGAAAAGCTTTAATTTGTACGTAAATAGCTGTGTACGGTAGCGAAGGCGAGAGCAGGGACGTGTCCCTGCGTGGGGATGTCCCTTCCCATGCCTCGAGGCCCTGCTGCTTCCCC